ATGACAGGCGTGAACCTCTGTCGCCCAGCGTGGAGGTCATCTCTGTACCCGTGTGTGTGTGTGCATTTGGCTGGGGTTTGTGCACGGCAGCATTGCCACAGTGACTGGGTTGTGCACTAGGCATGACCCAGACGATCTGAAGAGGGGTGCATGGGTGCAGCTTGGTTTCATGAAGTACATCCTGTACCGTGGCATGGAGTGCCACTCGAACACCTCCTCCAAAGAGCACCCTTGCTATGGTGGGCAGCACTGCTTCCTGTCCTCTTCCTCCTGTCATTCCACTCACTTCCTGTGTGGCACTTACCGCAGTCAGTAATCAGCCTTTGTGGCTGCCACTGAGGAGTGACTTGTTCAGAACTCATCCCGCGGTATTCGGTATTCCTCTCCTAGGAAGCCGAAGTGCCCAACCCCATCCTTTCCAGCTTCCGGGCTGCTCAGTCCTGGCTTAAATCCCTCCAATTAGGCTCACTCGTCTCACTGGTACAGATGATGGTGGGGTTGGCCCAACTCCAGAACCATGATGACTTAATTACTTAATTAATTTAGTGCTGGTACTGGGACTTGAACTCAGTTTCATGCTCTCACTTGGCTTCTTCGCTCAAAGCTGGTGCTCTACCCTTTGAGCCCCACTTCCCTTTCTGGATTTTTGCTGGTTACCTGTAGATAAAAAGTCTCAAGGTCTTTTCAGCTTGGGCTGGATTTGAACTGTGATTCTCAGATCTGTCTCCTGAATCGCTAAGATTACAGGCGTGAGCCTACAGCTCCTAGCTAGAGCCAGGGATTTTTTTTTTTTTTTCTTTCCAGTTGTGGGGCTTGAACTGTGGGCCTGGGCACTGTCCTTCAACTCTTCAGCTCAAGGCTAGCTCTCTACCACTTGAGCCACAGCACCACTTCTGAGTGTTTATTGGAGATAAGAGTCTCATGGACTTTTCCTGGCTAGGCTGGTTCTTGAGTAGCTAGGATTACAGGCGTGAGCTACCAGTGCATGGCTGAGCCATGGATTTTAAGCACTCAAATCTCTTTATGATCACTGGTTTGGATTTAGAAGTCTAAATAGAATACCTTGGATACTTACTAGCTTGTTTGCTTTTTTTGTTGTTGTTGGTGGTGGTGGTCATGGGCCTGAACTCTGGGCCTGGGCGCTGTCCCACAGCTCTTCAGCTGAAGGCGAGCACTTCACCACTTGAGCCACAGCACCATTTCTGGCTTTTTCTGCTTATATGGTGCTGAGGAATCGAACCCAGGGCCTCATGCATGCAAGGGAAGCACTCTACCACTGAGCCACCTTCCCAGCCCTAGCTTGTTATTATCTGTCTCTCTCTGGTTTAAGCTCCTTGCTACCAGAATCTTGTTTATTTTTCTTCACTGTGACCATTCAACCTAATACAGTGCCTGGTGCCAAGTAAGTGCTCAGCAATGATTTGCTGGCTGGCTGGCTGGAGATAGGCAGTTCAGGGCATGTAGAAGAAAAGACAGTGCATCTGCCAGGCACCGGTGGCTCACGCCTGTAATCTTAGCTACTGAAAGAGGCTGAGATCTGAGGATCATGGTTCACAGCCACCCCGCACAGGAAAGTCCGAGAGACTCTTATCTCCAATGAACCACCAGAAAACTGGAAATGGCCCTGTGGCTCAAGTGGTAGAGCGCTTACCTTGAGCTGAAGAGCTCAGGGTCAGCGCCCAGGCCCAGAGTTCACGTCTCACGACTGACAAAACAAAAAGAAAGACTCCAGCATTAGTATACTTCAGACTGCCCAGCACCCCGTGCTCCCATGTCTGCTCATTCACATTCCTTAGGTGAACTCATCCAGTCTTGTCAGTTTCAATTTACTTCTCGAGGCATGACCAATCGCTTCAACTTCTGGTGCTTTTACCCAGCTCCTCACCACTGGCTGTGAACAGTGTCTCAAATGTCACATGTCAAAACAGATTTCTAACCTCTCCACATCTGCGTCCACAGACTTCCCTTCCCTCTGTAAGTCAATGACAACTCCATTCTTGCAGACACTGGGCTAAACACCTCCGTCTTACTCACGGTTTCCGCAGCAACCTTCTGAGCTCTTCATGATGCACGGGACCCCGTCCTTTCCCCCCCTTCCCCCTCTTGGGGTCCCAGTCATCTTCCATTACGATAGCCTCGTCATCAATTGCTTCTAGAAAGCAGGTTACATCCTCCTCAGTCAGGTCCAGCTGCAATAGATAGTTGTGCACGAGCTCAGCTCAACTGTGCCAACAGCGTCTTGCCTCAAGTGTGTAATCTGTGTCTGTTTGTTCTCTGCGGAGGATTCTTCTGAGGCGATTGGAGATCTCATAGCTCTAACCCAAACACAGTGGAGAAACGTCCTCCCTGGGGTGAAAGCCTCAGCCACTGGGGGCAGGAATCAATAGAATAAAAACCCAACTTCCGGTCTTTGGGGGGAAATAACTCTGAAAGACTGTGTGTGTGTGTGTGTGTGTGTGTGTGTGTGTGTGTGTGGTGCTAGGTATGGAACCCAGGACTTTGTTCATGCTAAAGTAGCACTCTACCACTAGACTATAGCCTCTCACCCTTGGCCCTCAGTGGTCTCCTCCTTCCTCCTCTTCCTCTTCTTTTTTTTTCTCCTTTCTTCTTCCTCCTTTATCTTGATAATGCTAGAGTTTGATGCTTGTTTGTTTGCTGTTGTTTTTTGTGGGTCGTGGGGATGAACTCTGGGCCTGGGCGCTGTCCCTGAGCTCTTCAGCTCAAGGCTAGTGCTCTAGTACTTGAGCCACAGTGCCACTTCTGGCTTTTTATGTTTATTTGGTGCTTAGGAATCGAACCTGAGGCTTCATGCATGTAAGGCAAGCGCTCTACCACTGAGCCACCTTCCCAGCCCCGACAATGCTGGAGTTTGAGCTTAGCCTCCTGCTTGCCCGGGTGCTTGAGGCAGGCTTCCTCAGTCCTCTTGTGATCATTATTTTTGGGGTAGAATCTGAAGTTTTTGTCCAGGTCTTTTCCCAGACTGAAATCTTCCTACCTACTATGGTCTGCCTTGTGACTGAGTTTACAGCAATGCACTACCACTCTTGGCTTATTGATTGAGATGGAGCTGTTACTAACTTTTTTTTCCCTCCTTCCAAGAAACTGGGATTACAACATTAGACACATTTGGTCTCTCAGTCTTCTAGGAGAGTCTTAAATTTCCCAAGAAGCTTTGGACAACTGAATTTCACTGTGCACATCAACACACGTGGTAACAAACCCTTCTAATGCATTTCCTTCTTCCCTGGAAGAAGTACACCATACAGTACAGCATAGCGACAGAGTCTCACCTGTGGTTGCCGATGAGGATGGGTGGAGAAGGAAACACTGAGACTGTAGTGTCTCTAGACTGGATTGGCTGAGTTTTGTCAACTGTTTTGGAAAAGAGCAGTAGTGACAGTAGTGGCAGAGTCAGATTTCCAACCATCATTTCAGAATGTAATAAAAAGCTAGAAGAGCCGGGTGCTGGTGGCTCATGCCTGTCATCCTAGCTACTCAGGAGGCTGAGATCTGAGGATCACAGTTCAAAGCCAGCCTGCACAGTTAAGATAAGACTCTTATCTCCAATTAAGCACCAAAAAAGCTGGAAGTGGAGCTATAGCTCAAATGGTAGAAAGTTAGCTTTGAGCAACAAAAAAGGTCAAAGACAGTGCCCAGACCATGCGTTCAAGCCCATGAACTCATGCGCACGTGCACACTCACGTGTACGCGCGCGCGCACACACACACACACACACACACACACACACACACAAGCTAGCTAGCTAGCTAGATGACTCACTAAGCTGCAATGAAAGGAGACCCTCGTATTCCGCAGTGCTAGTGAAGACTGTGCTGAAAATAAGACCCAGAATCTGATTGTAAGGGTAGCTGCTTTACAAAAATGACAGACTCTTTACAGCCTGAACAGATCTCTAAGCTAAAGTCAAGGCCCTGGTAGAAACGGAATAGAAGAGGGGACAGTTAACTGAACTTGAGAACGTGGAGCTCCCACTTCAGGCCAACAGATGCAACTATCTCCTATCTCCTTGCTAAAGATTTCCTGGATGGAGATCTTGCTAACATTCATCTGACATTTATACCTTACAAGAAGGTCCCTGTCCTCTTCAGAAATGGCCCCATCTCCAGTCATTGCTTTTGGTCCAGTGATTGATTTCAATGTAGCCGGAGAGAAAAAACCAATCCCTACTATTGGAAAAAATATTTCCTTACCAGGACCTAGCAAGCGTAGGCGGGAAAAATGTATGGGAACATGTATGGGAGCGGGTCTTGAGAGCTGGACCACAGTGCACATGTAAGGTTGACAGGATCTCCTGTGACAGGGATGTAGCATCCTAGAAAGATGCCTGGAGCCCATTCAAAGATGCTTCTGGGAAGCCCCAGGCAATGGCTTGCAGGAATGAAGGTTCCAGGATGGCCTGGCAGAGTGGGGGGGGGGGGGCAGGTAGGTAGTAAGATACTGAGTTTAAGATTAAGATCTAGCCGGGCATGGGTGGCTCAGACTATAATCCTAGCTACTTAGTAGGCTGAGATCTGAGGATCCCGGTTCAAAGCCAGCCCAGGCAGGTAAGCTCAAGATACTCTTATATTCAATAAACCACTCAGAAAACTAGAAGTAGCACTGTGGCTCAAGTGGTAGAGCACTCGCCTTGAGCTGAAGAGCTGAGGGGCAGCGCCCAGGCCCAGAGTTCAACCCCATGACCAACAGGAAAAAAAAAAAAAGATTAAGATCTACCCTTTAGAGTTTTTTTATACTATAGTGTAATATAAACATAACATTTGGCATTAATTTTTTTCTGAAACAGGACCTTCCTATTGAAGCCTTGAATTCTCAATCCTATTTCCTCAGTCTCCTGAGCGCTGAGAATACAGGCCTGACCAGCTACATCCCGGTTTTGTTTGTTTTTGGTGCTGTGAATTGCATGATTGAACACAGGACCTAAGGAGCCAAGTCAGCATTCAAGCACTGAGCTACTGGCCAGCCCCAGAGCCGCCCGCGGCTTCCAGCACTTGGTACCTGGAGGAGTTTTGAGAAAGAATTCAGAAGACTCAGGATGTGGAACCTAGGGGAAGATTTGTTAGGTAAAGTGAGAGAGCACCCCAGCTAACCAAGTTTCTCCAGGAAGCCTGGAAGCTACTACCCCTCCACTCACAGGGTTGGGAGGGTGGGGGTCGGAGAGCGTTAGTGGGGTGGGGGCCTGTCTCCAGTGTGGCGTCTGTGTATCTCCACTGGAGACACGCACGGGCTACACTGAATTACCATCTGACTGGGTTTGGGTTCCTCATGCGGGTAGGCCCTGAGGCGGGAATGGAGACACTGCAGCCGCTGTTCCTGGGACGCAGCTACTGCAGCCTGGGGCCAAGGAACGGGACTGGGCCCTTTGAGGAGCTGCAGGGGGGGGGCAGACCCTGAGTCTGGCTGTCTTGGCTGTGACCATGCCCGGAGGCTGGCAGCAGATGCCCCTGCTGAGAACCCACGGATGGGCCTGCTGAGACCCATCCTCAGACTGGCCCCAGAGTCCCAGGCTAGACCAGTCCCAAACAAGCTCAGACCACCTAAGGGGGAATAAAACGCAACCCCTGTGACCCGGGGTGTCCAGGCTGATTCCGTGCCGATGAGAGTTCCTACGTTTTGGACCCCACCTCCCACCCCCCCACAGGCCCACATCACTGTCATTACTGTTCCCATGGGGTGACCCCAGTCACCTCTGAGGGCCAGGCAGGTGACTTCCACCTGCAGTTCAGGCCCCAGGTGCCCCCTCCCCTGACCCCAGTCCTCCACACCGTCCCCTGACCCCAGCACCCCCCCCCAACTTGAGGGCCCCTGGCCCTCCAGCCCTCTTGGTCCGACCCCCCATCCCCTGGCCCCTGTCACGTGACCCGAGCTCCCGCCATCAGCCCCCCCCCCCCCCGCCTGCTCAGGCGGGGCCAGCACGGGAGCCAGGGGGCGGGCGGGGGGGGGGGGCGCCCTTCCTCCTGAGCCCCCCCCCCCCCAGCAGGCCGCGCCGGAGCCGGGATCGAAGAGGTTAAGGCGCATCTGCCTCGGAACGTGCAGTGTCTGGGTGATGTCAGCGGAGCGGGAAGGAGGGGGCGCGCGGCTGCGGGGCGCAGACGCCGCCGGGCTGCGGGGAAGACCCCCGCTGGACTGCGGGGCTCCGGCGGGCGCCGGCTGCCGCAGCCTGAGTGGGTGGCCAGGCGCGGGGAGCGGGGCGCGGGGCGCGGGGAGCGGGGCGCGGGGAGCGGGGCGCGGGGAGCGGGGCGCGCGGAGCGGGGCGCGGGGAGCGGGGCGCGGGGAGCGGGGCGCGGGGAGCGGGGCGCGGGGCGCGGGGACCCGGCGCGGGGACCCGGCGCGGGGGACCAGCGCGGACACCAGGGCACGGGGGACACCGGGGCGTGGGGGGGACCCGGGGCGACCCAGGGGGGACCCGGGGCGCGGGGGACACCGGGGCGCAGGGACGGGGGGGACCGGGGGAGGACCCGGGGCGCGGGGACGGGGGGACCCGGGGGAGGACCCGGGGCGCGGGGGACCGGGCTCGAGGAGGGGGCCCCGCACCGGCCCCATGGACCTGCCCGCCTGGCCGGGGCCCGGTGGCCTCAACGCCAGCAACAGCTCGGATGACGGCGCGGAGAACAGCACGGCGGCGGGTGAGCGGGGCCGCGCGGGGCCGCCCGGGGCGGGGGGGAAGCGGGCCGGGAAGATGGCAGCCCCGCCGGCCGGCCGGGAAACTTTCGTGGATAGTTGTCGGAGGCCGGGGGTGCGGGGTGCTCCGCCCGGAGGGCCCGGGAGCACGGCGGTGCGGTGGGCAGCGCGACGCCGGCGGAGGCGCCCCGGGCGCGGGAGAGGGGTGCGGGCGGCGGCCGCTGCAAGCCGCGAGCCACCGACGCCCTGCAGAGAAGCAAGGACTGCGGGGGGGGGGGGCCGGCAGGAAGGGACGGGGGGCCCATCCGCCGCCACCCCGGCGGTGGGGTCTCCCGGCCTGACACCCCTCAGCGCCCCCTGGCAGGGGCCGCCGGGAGCAGAAGACCTCGCAGCGCTTGCGGAGATGAACTTTTCTCGTGAATCCAGCGTCCCGACGTCGCTGCGGGTCCAAGCCCGGGGCTGCGCGCTGAGGGAGGGACAGAGGGACGGAACAGAGGGACAGAGGGACAGAGGGGGGGAGGCCGTGGAGCGGTGGCCCCCAGCTCCGGGCCCCGCTCCCCCGGGGCGGCCCAGGCTGACCAAGGAAGCCTCCCGAGAGTATGTCTGAAATCAGGGGTGCTGAGCACCCCAAACTAGCCCCCAAGTCACCCACTGGGATATCCAGGAATGAACCTCCAGCCACGGACCCGTGACACGATCAGGCCGTGAGCCAGGCAAGAAAATTCACACCAACACACACTTCCAGGTCCCTCTGGCACACACACACATATACACACACAAATACACACACACACACACATATATACACATACTGGTATATATATTCTGAAAGATAGATTCTGATACATATATATTCTGGTGTCTATATATATTCTGGTATCTATATATATTCTGGTATCTATCTATCTATCTATCTATCTATCTATCTATCTATCTATCTATCTATCTATCTATCTATCTATCTATCTATCTATCTATCTATCTATCTATCTATTCTGGTAAAGCCCAGAGACCCACAGGGTAATTCTCAGCAGACAACAGTAGCCCTACTCTGTACCCTCAACATAACTGCAGGAGGCAGAGTCCTTCCATTAACAGGTGGCCCAGGATTCATCAAGGAACAGCAGAGGAGGAAGAGGAGGAGGAAGGGGGGGGAGGGGACAGGATGAGTGATACTGGTGGAGGGGAGGAGGGGGAAGATGGTGGGAGAGGATATTCCCGATGAATAGTGGCCTGGGGTTGAAATAGCAGAAAGGCAGAAGTGCCAAGGAGCAGGGCCAGCAGGCGGGCCGGGCCTGACCCGGGGCCCTTCCTTGCTCTCATCCACAGGCTTGCCTTCTCGCCCGGGAAGCGTCTCCTACATCAACATCATCATGCCCTCAGTGTTCGGCACCATCTGCCTCCTGGGCATTGTGGGAAATTCCACTGTTATCTTCGCGGTGGTGAAGAAGTCCAAGCTCCACTGGTGCAGCAATGTCCCCGACATCTTCATCATCAACCTCTCCGTGGTGGACCTACTCTTCCTCCTGGGCATGCCCTTTATGATCCACCAGCTCATGGGCAACGGCGTGTGGCACTTTGGGGAGACTATGTGCACCCTCATCACCGCGATGGATGCCAACAGTCAATTCACCAGCACGTACATCCTGACCGCCATGGCCATTGACCGATACCTGGCCACGGTCCACCCCATCTCTTCCACCAAGTTCCGGAAGCCTTCCGTGGCCACCTTGGTCATCTGCCTCCTGTGGGCCCTCTCTTTTATCAGCATCACCCCCGTGTGGCTCTATGCCAGGCTCATCCCCTTCCCGGGGGGCACTGTGGGCTGTGGCATCCGTCTGCCCAACCCCGACACTGACCTCTACTGGTTCACGCTGTACCAGTTCTTCCTGGCCTTCGCCCTGCCCTTCGTGGTCATCACGGCCGCCTACGTGAGGATCCTGCAGCGCATGACGTCCTCCGTGGCCCCCGCCTCCCAGCGCAGCATCCGGCTGCGGACCAAGCGGGTGACCCGCACGGCCATCGCCATCTGCCTTGTCTTCTTCGTGTGCTGGGCACCCTACTACGTGCTGCAGCTCACCCAGCTGTCCATCAGCCGGCCCACCCTCACGTTTGTCTACCTGTACAACGCGGCCATCAGCTTGGGCTACGCCAACAGCTGCCTTAACCCCTTCGTGTACATCGTGCTCTGCGAGACTTTCCGCAAACGCCTGGTCCTGTCAGTGAAGCCTGCGGCCCAGGGGCAGCCCCGCACGGTCAGTAACGCTCACACGGCTGATGAGGACAGGACAGAAAGCAAAGGCACCTGACGCTTCCCCTGCCACCGGGTCGTCTCCAAGTCAGCTCATGCATCAAGCCATCCGAGAGACACAAGGAAACCCCACGTCTGCCCTGGGAGAACGCAGGGAAGAGGCAAGGAAACACATTTCACAGAGCCCACAAATTGCGGGGTGTAACTTGGAGCCAGTGGGGGGGGTGGGGGGAGGCTTCGGCCAGCAGAAGTCCCCACCGGGGAAGCAGGATGAGGCTTTTGATGAACAGAAGCTGAGCAAGAAGAAAATGGTGGTTGCAACAGTCCATTGAGACATCTGGTAGCTCCCTAATTCCCACTCCCCACCCCCCCCACCCCCGCCAAGGGAAAGGAAAGGTGGGTTTGTTTCAGATTGGTCAGGTTCCAGGGGTCCTGTTGTCTTGGGTTCTGGGGTGATGGGCAGGATAGACACATTTGAGAAGGCAGCCTTTCTCCCCGGCTGAAGGAGTGGTGACAAATGAGAAGCATGCTGTCTCTCCACTTCAACATCCGGTGCCCGGTGGTTCCCTATTATCCCCAGGGGATGCATGTTTACGTGGGGGGGCGGGGCTCTGAGTCCACCGGAGGGAAAAGCCCCCATTTGCTGCAAGATCTTATTGTGGAGAATAGGATCTGGGGTGGGTTGGGGGGTAGGGGTGTCTTGAAACAAAAATAAGGGAGGGGAGTATTTTTGCCACGGTGGGGACCTCATCTTCATGGGGTGCATCGCTGGTTCAGTGGCTATCACTGTGTGAACACCACGTGATCTGCATGTGCCGGGTGGAGTTATGTGTGTGGGGGGTCATTCCAGTGTCTGACGCATTGGCATCATCTTCTCCAAAATCAAAGCAAATAAAGGAAAATCTCCACCCACAGCACTCTGAGGCTCCTGCTTAATGGCTTGAGGTTTGGGGGGGTGGGTAGGGGGAACCAAGGGACATCTAGACTTTGGTTTGGGTTGTATTGTAGGAGCTCAAAGAAAAGGATCTGTTCTGTTTCCCCAGGGCTTAGAGGAGTTGGTGACACTAATGGAATTTCTATGAATTCATTAGATTGCAGCTCCTGCTGCTAGCTTGTTCTGCCCGCCCCTCGCCCCTCCTCCCAGCTTGGACTCGATTGTCACCAATGCTGAACCCTAAGGCTTTAGGTTCCACCACCTCCCAGGCTGAGACACCAAGCATAGGGAAGGCTCTTGGGGTAGCTGGAGCCCGGCTCGGCTTACTGCAGCTGAGATGTGCTGGGCATCCGGAGCAGATGACAGCCCAGGCCGCTGGGAGGCAGACACAGCTGCTGCTGCTCAGCTTGGTCACGGGGAAGGGCGCCAGGAGCAGGGAGTCCGGGAGTCCTCAGCGTGCTGCTTGACGGATGTTAATAAGCTAGCGGGAGCAAATTGTCCAGAAGCATCCTTAACGCCGTGTGGAAGCGCAGCCCAGTCCTCTCCTCGCCCGTCATTTTCCACTGCAGAGCTGCAGTGGGAGCTGCTTAGAGAACTTCTGGATCACCTCCTTGGGTCCTGTTGAGTTCTTTTCATTATCCTCATTAGAAGTAGTATTTCTTGGGGCAGGGGAGGGGGGCGGGAGGCTGTGGCTCATGTCTTTATTCCTAGTTACTCAAGAGGCTGAGATGTGAGAACCAAAGTTTGAAGTCTGCTTAAGCAGAAAAGTCTGTGAGACGCTTATCTCCTATTAACCAGCAAAATAGCTAGAAGTAGAGCTGTGGCTCAAGTGGTAAAGCACCAGCCTAGAGCCAAAAAGAAAAGGGACAGCACCCAGGCCCTGAATTCAATTCACTATCAGTACATGTGCACGCGCGCGCGCGCGCGCACACACACACACACACACACACACACACACGAGTAGTATTTTTTCCCTTACTAACAGTAGCTACCAGCCGTGAGCTCTAACTCTAATTTACACACATCCAGTGAAAGAAAAATGCAAGGATGCCATCCTGTTCGTAGAGGAGGCTGGACACGGTGGTCACACCTGTGGTGCAAGCACTAGGGAAGCTGATCTGGAGTTTGAGGCCCACCTGGGCTACACAACCAGACCCCATCTCAAACAAGACAACATCGCTGGGCAGCCCTGAGGCCGATCCAAGAAGACCCAACTGCTCATCTCCAGCCTGGACACCTGCTTTGTCTGTGGGACGATCTCGGTGGCGTCTGTTACCCTGCGCCCCCCCTTCACCCTCATGTCCTAGCCAGAGGGAGGGCGGGAGAGGTGGGATGGCCTCCCCCCAGAAATACTCATGACCAGGCTGCCAGCTCACGTGGGTGAAGCTCCCAGCAGCTCCAGGCAGGGGTGCCTGCGTCCCCCAGCTCCCAATCCACAAGGAACTCACTGAGATGGGAGCCATGTGGGCTGAGTCGTGAGAGTGAGCGGGTGGAGGACTGAGGAGTGACAGGCAGGATCAGCGGCTGGAGGAGAGAAGGGAGGCGGGGAGGCTGGAGGTGGTAGGGAGACTGCAGTGGGGGTGAGTGGGGAGGGCGGGGGGCGGGTAAGAAGCTGTCACAGACAAATCTCCCCTCAGTCTAAACGGTAACCTGAGCCATCCTGAGATGCATTGGATTAGAATAGACTTGTGGAACCAATTTAGTGGAGCAGGTCTGTAATCCCAGCACTCGGAGGCCTGAGGCAGGAGGATGGAGAGTTTCAGGATAGCCTGGGCGACAGAGTGAGATCTGTCTCAAAAAAAGAAAAGAAAGATGAGAGAGAGAGAGACAGACGGACAGAGACAGAGACGGAGAGGTAGAGAGCTAGCGAGGAAGAAAGAGAGGGAAGGAGAACGTGCAGGGGTCAGGGCGGGCGGGCGGGCAGGAGTCATCCTGACCTTGCTGGTCGGAGCAGGGGATTTAGTAGAGGGAGAGAAGCAGGTACAAGAAATGAGAAGAACTTCCCTGTCTTCATCCAAACCCAGGAAGTGGTGAGGCAGAGCTGAGGGCCACTTTGAGGTACAGCGTCCAAGAGGGGGTGATGAACACCATGCAACTGCTGTTCTTGGCTTCTTTTTTTGACTTCTCATGACTAACAGTCGCCCCTAAACTCCCACTGAGCCAGGCTTTCTCAGCTCACGCCTGTAATCGTAGCTACTCACAAGGCTGAGATCTGAGGATCAAGGTTCAAAGCCAATCTGGGCAGAGAAGTCTGCGAAACTCTTATCTCCAATTAACCACCAGAAAACCAGAAGTGGAGCTATGGCTCTAAGTCATAGAGAGCGAGCTAGCTAGCCTTGAATCCTTGAGTGAAAAAGCTCAGGAACAGCATGCAGCTCAAGCTCAGCCCAGGGACAGATCAAGCCCCACGACCAAGCACCCCTCCAAAACAAAGGTCTTATAAATGGACATACAGTATTTGTCCTTTTGTGATGGGTTTTTTCACTACATCTATGTTGTATGTGTCAGAATCTTCTCCTCTTCCTCCTCCTCCTTCTTTGTCATCTTCTTCCTCCTCCTCCTCGTCCTCCTCCTCCTCCTCTTCTTCTTCTTTTTTTTTTTTTTTGGGGGGGGGTCCGGTCGTGGGCCCGAACTCTGGGCCTGGGCACTGTCCCTCAGCTCTTCAGCTCAAGGCTAGCGCTCTACCACTTGAGCCACAGCGCCACTTCCGGCTTTTTTCTTTTTGCTTATGTGGTGCTGAGGAATCGAACCCAGGGCCTCGAGCATGCAAGGCAAGCGCTCTACCACTGAGCCACCTTCCCAGCCCCTCTTCTTCTTCTTGTTCTTCTTCTTTCTCTTCCTTCTTCCTTCTTTTCCTCCTCCTCCTCCTCCTCCTCCTCCACCACCTCTTCCTCTACCACCTCTTCCTCTCCTCCTCTTCCTCTCCTCCTCCTCCTCTTCCTCTTCTTCTCCTCCTCCTTCTTCTTGTTATCAACTTCTAGTCCAATCCTTGGACCAGAAATATTGGCTACTTTTTTTTTTTAATGGTGGTAATGATAGGGGTTTCTTCTGCTTTCAGTTAGCAGAACCTGCTAGTGTTGAGCTCAGCAGCAGGGAATGTCTTCCAGTGTTGCAGCTGCCAACTGGCCCCGCTGCCCCCGCAGATTCTTGTCTCAGTAACTCCACAAAGGAAGTCCAAGAACAAGGCAAGGTGAGTTCCAAGTACTTGGTCAGAAGAAAAGCATTCAGCCTAAGGCTCAGCTGCTCTGTCTCCAAGTGGCTGAGTCTAAGGGGTTTTGTTCCCTGCACTATGCTTTGATTGATTGCCCCTATTCTAATTATTTGTTTTGGAAGTGTTTTTTTTTCTTTTTCTTTTCTTTTTCTTTTTTGGCCAGTCTTGGGACTTGAAATCAGAGCCTGGTTGCTGTCCCTTTTTTTTTTTTTTTTATTCTACTACTTGAGATACAGCTCTACTTCCAGAATTTTGGTGGTTAATTGAAGGTAAGAGCCACAGATTTGAGCTGGGTTGGCTGACTTCAAACTTTGATCCTCAGATCTCAGCCTCCTGAGCAGCTAAGCTTATAGGCATGAACCAGGCAGGAAGGTGACTTTCTAAAAATTAAAATTGGTTGGGTTTCAAGACATTCTGGTTAATCATCCATTTCAAATCAGCTCTGTTGTGCAAATCTGCTCCCAGGGCAAAGGGAAAGGTTATCAAAACCTGGGGAGCGAGAAGGGGCTGAGGATGAGCAGAGCAGAGGCAGCACGTTGTCCCCCGCGGGAATCTCTTCCAATACAATGTTGTGCCTTTTACATCTGGTTTATACTTGTCCAGTCCAGCAAGATGGTGTCCAAAGACCTGATCCCAAACAATCTATGCTTTCAGTGGTCCTGGGTTTTGAATTCAGGGCCTCAGGCTTACTAGGCAGGTGCTCTATCACTACTTGCCTCTAGCAGAAATTCATTCCTTTTAAAGGCTGAATAATATTCTTTTGAGTGCATATACCACACTCTGACAGACGGTTGGGTTGCTTCCATCTTCAGCTATTTTGAATAACACTGCTGTGAACATGGATGTATAAATAACTGTTCACCTTCCACTTCAATTCCAGAAATGAAAAAGCTGGATCATATGGTAACTCTATGTTTAACATTCTGAGGGACTGCCAGACTATTTTCCACGGCAGCT